GCGTTCGGGCTGACCCAGACAAGGTCAAGGCCATAGCAGCATGGCCGACGCCCCGATCCCAGAAAGATCTTCGAAAGTGGTTGGGCTTGGCCAACTAACTTCACAAGTACAGCGCTGGGTACGCGGGCTTCGCTAAGCCCTTGTCGAGCCTCCTTCAGAAGGACGTCGACTGGCGCTGGGACCAACAGCACCAGGATGCATTTGGCAGCATCAAGGCCAGTCTCCAAGAGGCTCCTGTCCTGGCCTGCTGAACGAGACGAGGCCGCTCAGCGTCGCCTGCGATGTCTCCGACTATGTCATCGGTTGTGCATTGCTGCAGCCTGACACGGCTGGACGCGAACGCGTCATCTCGTTCCAGTCCAGACAGCGCAAAGCTGCCGAACGGAACTACCCTGTTCACGACAAGGAGCTCTTGCCAATGAAGTATGCCCTTGTGAAGTTTCGTGCTCACCTTCTGGGCTCTAGGCCCTTTGTAATCTACACAGACCACGCGTCCTCGAGGACGGCGACTAACTTGCCTCACCTCTCCCAAAGGATGGCGAGGTGGCTGTCCTTCTTCGCGGAATACAACTTCCGCGTCGAATACAAGCCAGGCAAGCTCAACGTGCTTGCGGACGCCCTCTCTCGGCGTCCTGACTATGAGTTGGTCCACATCACGCGGGTGACAACGGATCTATATGATCGGATACGCATGGCGTATCGGGACGATGAGGCTGTCGCGCCTATCGTCAAGTTCCTTCAGGCCGGAACGAGCGCGAAGTCCGACTGGCTCTCGTCGCGACAGCGCTCACGGCTCCACCGATATGAGTTGAAGGATGGACTCCTCTATTACCGGGTGGAGCCCACTGATCCTCCACGGGTAGTCGTACCCAACGACGAGGATCTGAAGTTCGACATCCTCGCGGAGGCGCATGACGCGCCCTCCAGCGGCCACTTGGGCCGCGAGAAGACCTTTCTGTCGGTCTCTCAGTCCTTCTGGTGGACCCACATGTACAAGTGGGGGGGGGGTCGCACGGTACGTGACGACATGTGAATCATGTCAGCGAGTAAATCCGCAGGGCACGCTTCGGCTCCACTACAGAGCCTGCCCGTTCCGGCTGACAGTTGGAAGCCAATGAGTCTTGACTTCAGCTTTGGGCTTACCGCCGACGGACACGGCAACACCGGGATTTGGTGTTCGTGTGTCGGCTGAGCAAGATGGTACATCTTGCCCCAGTACCCGTTACCGTCACAGGCGAACAAATTGCGAGGTTGTTCGTCGATATCGTGTTCCGCTATCGCGGTCTCCCGGTGACGATTGTCTCGGAGATGAGACCCGCGATTCACGGCTGCGTTTTGGAAAATGCTGTTTCCTTTACTGGGAACTCGTCTGCAGATGTCCACTGCGGACCATCCACAGACACACGGCCAGACAGAGCGCGTCAATCGAGTTCTCGAGGACACTCTGCGCAGTGTGTGCGCGGAAGCATCACGTACGTGGTCGACGTAGCTTCCAGTTGTTGGGTTGCGCTCAACAACGCGGTGCACGCGTCCACGGGCTCACGCCGCTCTACTTGAGCGGCTTCCGTCACCCCAGAGTGCCTTCCACTCTTCGAGGAGCCACTGCATCCTCTATTCTAAGTGGGGGAGTGGCTCGGAAAGCTCTTTCCTCTTAGGTCTCGGATGTGAGACCGGTTTAGCTGCGGAACCAAGTGGAATCCTTTATGGATACCAAGCTGAGCGTGACCAGCAGGGTCCACGATGTCATGGCAGCGGCCCAGGACAGACAGAAGGAGCACTCTGACAAACATGGAAGAGAAAACTTAAGTGTATTTAAGGTGGGTGAGTTAGTGTTATTAGACACGAGGAACCTACCACTAAACATTGTAAGCTCTGTCGGCAGCAACAAGCTGAAGTACCGCTTCATTGGACCGTTCGCAGTCCTGGTCAGGCATGGTGCGTCGTACACCATCGACCTGCCCAAGTCAATGACGACGCACCCGACGTTCTACGTTGGGCGTCTTAAGCGGTACCATGATCCGCAAGGGGTTGCTGACTCACAGACCCACCTTGGCCCAACTCCTCGAAGCGAGGGCTGGCCGCAGACGTCGACGAAGGCGTCGGAGCAGGCACCCAAGGCTCGGTCTGAACAGCAAGGCTGCGGTCGAGACCGTACGCCGGAGTGGCCCCGTACGAACGGACCCCGAAGCCATTCGCCGAGTACGTCGGGTACGCACCATACGCTTACGACTGGGAGTGCGCCGAATTCGGCTCCGGACGTGACAGCAGAGCCTCGAAACGTCGGATCAAGCGGAAGGCGTCGTCAAGATCGGACGAAGCAGCCCACATGTCCACCAGCAGATGCAGATTCGAGACCTCTCGCTCCAACAGGTCCAGGCGGTCCGCAAGACGAGCGAGTACGCCCTGATTAGCATCTCCAGCAGTCCCAAGGCCAAGTGCAATCTCAAGCACGAGGACGCGTTGACGGAGGCCATCAACCTCAGGGCTCTGCGTCGGACCTGCAGGAGAAGCACTCGGACGAGAGTAGCGTTCCGGAGGCGCCGAGTACTCATACTCGTACGAGGGCACCTCCGCCCCTGCTTGGCCTAAACGGAGAAGTCCATTACCAGGTGGAGCGAGTTCTCCGGGAGCAATGTCGTCGCGATAAGCGACATCTCCTCGTGAAGTGAAGGGTTATGCCCACTACGAGAACTTGTGTGAAGTCGATTTGAGCGACTTCGGATAGACTGCCCGAAGGCTGTAGCAATCTGTGAACAGATGCGGCGGCAGCTTCATAAGTAACTCGGGGTTTCTTGCACGAACGGGGTACGGACGTTGTCGACACTCCGTACCCGCGCTCATCGTGGGCGCTAGATGCCGCGCGCTTTAGAATGTCCCTTGGCAGCATGCGCTTGCTGACCAAGTGGGCGAACCGGACACGAAGATCACGCTGGTCCAGGATGATGGACAGCACCTGATCTTCACGGAGTTCCCGCAACTCCGAGGGTGAGTACTTGAGAGACTCAACCCAGGCCCAGAACATGTCCTCACCCGAGTTCCAGTTATGACTGTTCTCGGGAAAAACACAGGGGTAGCCCCAGAGAGGGTAGAGACCACCCCCGTTCTCGGGCTTCTTACGACAAGTCGTGAAGTCCTTCAGAGAGATTCGGTGCGGCGCGAGAAGCACACACCGAGCCGCCTCCAGGTTGTCAACAAACAACGGCTCCTTCTGGACCAGGGCACGTTCGTAAACGCCCCTAGAGGTGTGGCCGCCAACAAGGCCACGAGGAGCAATGAGGTTCTCCAGAAAGGGGTCCGCCCCAGAGCTCTCCTCGGGAGGCCAATACCCTCTTGTGTTGATGGCAGCTCCCTGGCTGACTGGTGCCACCACCGGACCCCCACGCGTGCGCTGGGCAGCTTGGAAGTCCTCCTGCTGCTGGTCGAGGTCGTCAGTGATCTCCAGGGGCTCATGAATAGCACCCTCCTCCTCCTCCTGCTCCTCTTCATCCAAGGAGCCGAAGCGGTTCCGATAAGAGTACCCAGTCTCCTTCTCCTCGCGGAGTGGAGACTTCGAAGCCATGCGCTTCTTAGAAAGTTTGGTGTTTTCGGCTTTGGCGTCCTTAGCACGCGCAAGTCTCTGAGAGACGTTTGAGAGGTTTCTCCGCTTCATCGTCACCAGCTTTGGGAGAGCCCTTAGCACTGACGGCAGGACTCTCAGTGAGCACAGACATCCTGGGACCGTGATCGCCATGGTCACTTGCACGCTGTCGTCGTCGTGCTCGCCGGGCACTGGAGTGTCATCCCCCCCCCACCCACCCCACCCCCACGGAGCCCACAGGAGCATCAGGAGTGCTCCTAGATCGTCACTGCCTCAATTGAACTCACTTCAGCGAGCCGCGGGTTCGGACGGCTGTCTGGAGAGACCGAAGGTGACGGACTGCGGCGCTTGCTTGCACGCTTGCTCGCAGCCGCGTCACCAGATGAGCCGATCGCTTCCGAGGCCACCTTAGTAGCCTTCTAGAGTGCAGAGCCTTTGCTGCGAGGCTTAGTGCTCTTGGCTTGCGCCTTTCCGGCAACAGCCTTGGAGCGTTTTTCGCACCACTCTTCGCAGTGTCACGGGGCGTACTAAAGATCGATATGGAGACCGAGAAGACGAGCGCTCAACCGCTACTCGAGGCCCTAACTGTAATGTGAGCCTCCGCCGTGATCGCGCAGCCAAGTCGATGTATTTCGACTTTGAGAATGAGAGTTTGTGACGTACACTTCCTCATTCTGATTGGTCGGTAAGCCGAACCTAAGTGGGGGAGGGTGTAACGGGGTACATAGCCCCAAGTGTACCCCTAGTTACGTGTGACACGTCATGCTTCGGGATATTTGGTACACGGTACCAGGGTCGTCCGAGGCCAACCATTGGCTGATGGCATAGTTTTTCTATAGGTGACTTATAGTTTGTAAATTTAACTCAAGCTTAGCCTATCTATAAATATATTCAGCTACAACTTACCTTAAATTGGTCACTTCGCTCCAAGGGACTTGTGAACTGCCGTTCACTGAGAGTTTGTATACTCTTGGAAGCCAACCGCAAGGTGCTGTGTGACCCCTCACACTTACCTTAAGCAGGTGATACATGAGTATCTTTCCGCAGTTTCTGCCCACAGGAATGCTATTTAATCTTAAGCTCTTTGCTAAACTTTGCAAAGCTATTTGCGCAATTCGTTTTATAAACAAGTCGGCCGGACAGCTAAGATGCTAGCCAATAATTTCCGCGGCTGCGCGGTATCACTTCTGGTCTTACAGTATATGTATTACTTCGGGGTAGAATTGGTGGATGTTAAATACTTGTACTTGTATACACGTATTCCTCACTAAGCTCAGAATACAATACAAACACTCACGTTTGCCTACTGAAGACTCCATGTACAAGTAAAAATGTCCCAATTTTTGGCGAACCTATTGGCATTAAGACTCTACGATGCTCAGCCGAAGCGGAATAGGCAAAAATATCTCGACGCTTTTGCAGGTCCGATACCGCGCATACTCGCCATCTCTTCTTTTGACGCAGGTTCAGTCTCAAGGATATCCTGAAACCATCATTAGTATAGTTGCCATATAAACGATTAATACATACAGCGTGAAACCTCGTACGTACCCGAATAAGCCGACGTGAAAGAGCTTCTCGCTTCGGAAGCTTCAACCGCCTGGACTCGGCTAAGACCTTCTGGTATTGATACTCAATCCTGCTCTTTGAAACGCCATCTTCCCCGTCCGATTTTCTTTCATTAAACTTGTGTTCATGAGTAGTCTCTTCTTCATACCCAAACGCATCCGCAGTTTCTAGCGGCTCACCGCAGTTGCAATTCTTGACGCAGAGTCTGGTATCGAATCGGAAGCCGAAATGAGAGTACAGCAGCTCCTTTCGACAGCCCGATGCCATTTCACAGAAGGCAGAAACTTCTTCCAGTTCGCCCCGTGAGCTCCCGTTGGAGATTGGACCAGACCCAGTGCCGTCGAAATCGCGTCTTTCCGTCGTTAAAGCGTCTGCACGGCCCTTGTCTGCCTCTGAATACAGCAAAATGCACTCGGATGGCTTCCCATCGCGGCCACTTCGTCCCTTGACTCAGCAAAATAATGAGTCTGTGGGTGCAATCTCCATCGTTTTAAATTAAAGATTTAGAAACACGTACAATTTGCTGCGAATACGCCGAAAGTGTCAGCGGGATCGAGTGATGCACCACAAAGCGCACGTCCGGTCGGTCGATCCCCATCTGGAAGACACACAAGCACCGCCGTTAGAGCTCTTCCTCTCGAAGTCTCGCATCAATAGCCACGTACGCCGAACGCACTGGTGGCACAGATGGCCGTCAGCTGGCCCATCATCCACTGCTTGCGTACAAACTCCCTCCTCTTGGGCGGTAGCCCGCCATGATAAACGCCCGCGTGGCTTCCAGCGCGAACGAGTGCCAGACACGTGTCTTCCGCCTCCTTTCGTGTCATGCAGTACACAATCGCAGGCTCCGTCCCCACACGATTCGCGAGCCACTGAGCCGCCTGTGCGCGTTTCCTCACAACTTCCATGCGCAGATTCTGGCGATCTGTCACTTGTTGCACCAGCACCATCTGCTTGTGTCTTGACGCGCTTGCTCCTTCATCAGCGGACGCAAAAGCTACTAACTGCAGATAGAAAAGGTCGGCCAACTTGGCGATGTCTTCGTCCGACACTGACGCTGTCGCTAGAGTGATGGGAACTTGACTGAAGAGCTGATTCTTCCACTGGCTGAGCAGTAGATACGACGGTCGGAACGTGTTCCCCCACTCCAGCACACAGTGGGCTTCGTCCAGCACGATCCGAGCCAGTTTGCCCTCTTTTCCTGCTGCATGTACCCATTTCCTCATCTCTGCGTTCATCTGTAAAAACTCTGGCGTGGTGTAAATGAGTCTCTGACCGGAGAGCAGCTGCGTTAAGGGCACCGACTTGTTCCTCTCGTCTGCTGATACTTGAATAGCGTTGACGCCCTTGCGTTTTAACGCTGCAACTTGATCCTAGAAATTTGAAATCAAAAGCACAAATTTAGTCCCGTCCTAATATTCTAGAAAAAAATGAGTTTAGTTTAATGACGTACATGCATCAGAGCAATGAGTGGAGACACCACAAGGGTCGTTTTATGAGCTGCAGCTAGCAGAGCTGGTGCCTGGAAGGCTAAACTCTTGCCAGCGCCTGTAGGGAGGTGGAGGAACACCGAATAGCCCAATGTAGCCATTTTCACAGCCGTCGATTGCGCCTCTGTGACTTGGAAGGAGTCGGATTCACCGCGCTCCAGTAGTTTTCGATACACAACATCAAGAGTCTGTTGATTAACAGAGGAAGCACGACGGATCTGGGTTCGCAGCAGTGGAGTAATGCGAGGTTGCAGCAGAGACTTCATGATGCCAAGTGAGTAAAAACAAGAAAACGTTTCATTGGGTGAAAATCTAACTACGCGATGATTGGGTAATGCTGTAGCCATCTGCTACAGCTCTGTTCCATTTGATCAGCACTTCTGATGGCCCTCCTCGTACTTGTCAAGTGCCTTTTGACCTATAGCGCAAGCAATACGAGGAGTTTGGTCGCCACAGACGGCGTGAAGTACAATGCTCCACGTGTCTGTGTTTTCCGAGGGAAGCGGATAGTGCTCGTCCGTCCACTCGACGGAAATGGTCGATTCGTCGCCCAAGTTGAAGGCGCCCAGCTTGCCAGACATGTCTCCTTTTCTCGCATACCAATGGGTCGGCAATGTAGTTGGTTGGGTTACACGCGTAGTGTAACGATTTCTCATTGCATCCGGCCTCAGCGATGTGCTCAGACGCAGGACCGCACGCTCGCAACGGGTCGTAGTGGTTGTCTGTGGCTGCCTTGGAGCATTGCGCGAACGAGTCAGAAGTGAGCGTCGAGCTCCACTTCGTGTGGATGTGCCACCTCCAGCTCGTGACGTCCTTGGTGCAGTTTCCGTCGAACTCGGCGATCTGCGCCTGGTCAACGTCGGAGAAGTCGAGGTTGGCTTTGATGGTGGCAACAGTCGAATCTTCAGCGGCGTATTGAACCTCGATGGAGCCGTCCACGCCAGCAGCGCTCGCCGCATCGAACTTGTACAGATACGACGGGGTATAGGCTGCGGTAGTGGAGAGGGCGGTGACAACAGCGCAGATAATACCAAAGATACGGGCCATGGTGGGGAGACTGGTGGGAAGACAAGAAGCGCTTGAGGTGTCGGAGGTTAATCCGTGAATGACTCCTTGATCGAAAACGGGCTCGCAGAATCAAGTTGGGTGATGATATAAACCTGGAAGAAGCGTCTGGTGGTGGCAATTGCAGGTGTTTCCTAGTTACATTGCGGCTCCAGGATGTTCGTAATAATCAAATTCAGATGATGCTGGCCTTTGAGGTTGTTCTTTAAGCCAGGAGTCCATTTACAGCAGAAGAACATGTTTAATAATAATTCAGGGTGTTACGACTTTCGAGCGTTTTTATCTCAAAAGGAATGGTGAGGGGTGCACCAAATTGCCGAATTTTCCCGATAAATCTTCTTTCTCGCGCATGAGAGTTATCCGCATAGTTTTCCGGGCTGCACGCGTATACCGGTACATGTATGCCGACTTGGCTTGCACTGAAATGCTCCGAGTCGGACTGCACGCAAAGAGCGAACGTGAATGTGCCACTTGTACTCGGAGACAGGTCCAGTGCACATTCGGTCGATACCCGGATCGAGCTTTGATCACTCGCGAAAATTCCAACGCGGCAGATATAACGGCAATCGGATATTACCACTAGCGTACTTGAAGCGGATTGTCCCTTCGACTTGCAGCATCGAATTGGAAGACAAACGGTGTTGATTCGGCGGCTGTAACTACAGAGATGGCCACCAAGAATCAGTGATGTAGATCATTGACGGATACTTTGGATCGATGTCGGAGCGAAAAATTTTACTACAGTAGTAAATGAAATCCAAATCCGTGCTAACGTTAGCGGTGACTGTAAATTCCCAAAAGATTTCAGCGAACTCTCTATTTTTATTTGTAAACGTAAAATTTGAGTCACCTCTTCATCTTATTAGACGCCGCATCCGGCAGGGGTGGACTGGTTCGGGGAATCCTGGACGGGAGTCGACTGGTCAACTTCACCCTCCGTCTCCGTTTGCAGAGCGCAGGCGATACGAGACTCTTGGCCACACATGGCGTGCAACACGATGCTCCATGTCTCGGTGCTCTCGGACGGCAAAGGGAAGTGCTCGTCCGTCCACTCTCCCTTAACGGTGCCATCGTCGGCAACCTTGAAGGCGCCGAACTTGCCCGACAAATCGCCCTTCTCGCACGCCAACGGGTTGGCCGAGTAGCTCCCCGGGTTGCAAGCGTAGTCCTTGATCTTGGCCTCGCACTCAGGCTCAGCGTTGTATTCGGACACCGGGCCACACGCCCGCAGCGGGTCGTAGTGGTTGGCAGTCGCCGCCTTCGCGCACTGCTTGAACGAGTCAGACGAGAGCGTCGAGTTCCACTTGGTGTGGATGTGCCACTTCCAGCCTGTCACGGCGTCCATAGTGCAGTTGTTGTCGAACGCCACAATATCGGACTGGTTGACACGGGAGAAGTCGAGAGCCGCCGTGATAGTGGCAGTGGATGCATTCTCGGCGGCGTACTTGATCTGGATGGTACCGTCGACTCCAGCAGCGTTAGCCGCATCAAACTTATAGACGTACGACGGCTGGGCAGCCGCAGCAGCGAGAGCGCAGGCGAAAGCGCCAGCAGTACCAAACGAGTGGACCATAGTTTGGGTAGTGAGAGGTAGATAGTTAATCCAGAAATGACCCCAAGTTGTCGATGAAAACCTGGTGGTGCTGGGCCTGAGGGCGATGGCTGCCTCGCGCCAATTGCAAGCAAGCTCCGCATGTCTCGGAGGTTCATGGGCACATCCGGAAAGCACTTGCACCGTGCATTGCCTTCTTTCGCGACTGTCGAGGTCTCCCTTTTTTAATCGAGAGTCGTTATTGTGCCAGACTGAAAACGCAAAAAAATAAGAGCGTCGTTAAAGGTACCGAGCAGCTCGTACTTAAGCGAGAGTTAGGGGCACATGGTCCGAGTGCGTAGGCACCGAGTGATGTCCTACAGGTACCGATTACAATTCAGAGCGGTAATATTCGGTATTTTATTGGCAGTTGATTTCAAAAATTACATCGTTTGATCGTGTGGCTCTCGTGGATCCAGCCATGCACGTTGCATGAATGTGACTTGTTGTACTGATGTGTTGCTTGAAGGTACACAAGACTTAATGTTTCACGGGGAGCATTCATTTACTTGTAGGCGGACTGGTGGTGACGGACGTGCATCTGCTGGGTAAGAGGAGGCGCTCATGGCTCGAGCGTCTCTGGGTGGACTGGCAGGTGCATATAGCCGCCCGAGCGGCTGTGGACGAGCACAAACCCGATGTGGCGCTGGTACTCGGCGACCAATTCGATGAGGGGAATCGTTGGACGTCAGATGCGGATTACGGCGAATACGCTAGGCGGTTCTTTCGGGTCTTTTCCAGCTTTTTGCCCTTGAAGACGCTGTACTTGGTGCGACTAGTTTGGAGCTACAAGAGGTTGCAATTGCTGACAGGATTTTTGACAGGTCGGCAACCATGATACCTCGTTCGGATGGGACATGAGGATTGAGGACTTGAAGCGCTACGAAGTCACGTTCGGGGAGGCGAACCGGATTAACGAAATCGGAGGCCACACATTTGTGAGGCTGAATACGATGGCGCTGGACGCGGATGTGGCTAGTCGAGCAGTCAAGACGGAGGCTAAGAGGTAGCAATTGCAGTTTTTCAAGTGTTCAAGCTGGAGATCTGAGCGAACGATTTTCTTTTCTTCTCGTTCTGCTTGTGCAGCTTCCTGGAGAGCGTCAACTTTGAGGACCTTCGAGCGCGAACGACTGGCAGTGTAGTGTTGCTCACACACCTGCCGCTCTTCCGTGTTGACGACCTCCAGTGTGGAGAAGAACAGCTGCGCGAAGCGGGCCACGTCAGCTATGAGCACCCGGGTTTCAAGTACGAAACGCACCACCACGCTCTCTCCCGCGAGCTGTCGACGGAGTTGCTGGCCAAAGTGCGGCCGGATCTGGTCTTTTCAGGCCACACACACGCCTGGTGCGCGTATAAGCTTCCTTGAAGACAAGGAAACATTTTGCATTTACCGGTAATCGAGCAAGTTGTGAGCTGATCGCTTTTCGTCCATGTCCAACGCTGCAATCACCTGCAAGTCCATCCAGTGGATGACCTAGAACTCATGTATGATCAGCTAACCATCGCACATTGGGATCATCACCTGTCGTTAGATTAGAAAACTCTCAGTGACAGCAATGCACCTCACCGAAAACTAGGTCAGGAGCGAGACAGTGAAGCATTAATGTGCATGAATTCATTTGGCAAGACTAAATGTAGCTACATCAGACATTTCAGCATGTAACGGAGCCTTAAAAATCGTATGAATGCTAAGGTTGGTTTGGCTGGCAGTGGAATTCCTCTGAGGTAGCACTCGAAAAATATAAGGACAGCTGCACCGCAACTTGATCCATCTGGCTGTCGTGAACGTGTTTCTCGCTTGATTGTCAGAAGGGTACATAGTTCTCCAAAAATACTCTTCAGTTGGGCTTCACAGGTGTCGTAGTACTTTGCCTTCGACGCTTGAAGCGGGTCAAAGAGCGTGATTCTTCGGGTCTCTCTCCGAAAATCGATCACAGCACCGCACCAGTGGTTGTTGTCGATATGCAACGGTATCAGCACTATCTTGTTTGTTTTCGCGAACGGGTTGCCGGCTTTGACAGTCGTAAGCTGCTGCTCTCGGAGCTGGAAACGCAGGAAGAGAGGGTTGACGACGCCAACATCAGGATGCTCACGATGTAGCAGCGCTATCCCGTGCCCCATACAATTGTCGTCAAGCCATGAACTCCCACAAAATGTCAGTAGGGCTCGATACGGTACACTGCCAAACGATGTCACGCGTCCGCCTCGAAGCATAAGCTGCTTGATTGCATTTTCACGCTCTTTTGGTTCGGTAGCAACTCCATCAGACAGTTCATCTGGAATTGTGATGCGCTTAACGCTGGTGTTTACGGCCCAATTCATAGCATCCTCTGTCTGCGCTAGAAGCTTCATGCACGTGTGCCACCGATCCATTGCCTTGATATCTTTAAGCATAAAGATTCCAAAACGTGACACACGCACGCCGACGCTGTCGTCTTCACAGTCATCCTTCCTGAACCCCCTGATTGCCATTTGAGCCTTTTCCACAAATTCGCGATAGAAGACAAACCGAATATCAGTAGTGCACTTGTCTTCCGTGTAGATACCAGCGATCGCCTTTTTTGACTTTGGAACTTCCCGGATTGTGAGCGTGGGTAGTATCCGTTTCGCAGCTTCGTAGGTATAGTCGTTGTCTAGAAACTTCACGATGTTCCGTACACTCGGAACCGGCACCAATGTCCCCTGCACGAGTCGTGACGCAGCTTCCTTACCGCGGGCGACACGCTGTCGCTTCTCGGCTTTCCCTTGATTCTTTCTCACCTTTGGGCGCCCTCTGCTTTTGGCGCTCTTCGATACGATGAAGGATCCAGATGAGTCAGACGAACTACTGGGATGATCCCGCCTGACTGAACTCGGTTTCTCACTGTGCGGATCTCCATGAATGACACCCACCCGATCTCCAATTGTATTTCCTGTAACTGAAGGTACAGTAGAAGTAGCCAATACATCTTGCTTGGTGACTGGAGATACAATACCAGCACCCGATACTTGCTCAGTGACTGGAGGTACAGTAGAAGTATCCAACATTTCAGGCTCGGTGACTGGAGGTACTGCAGAGGTACCCAACACTTTCTGCTCTGTAACTGGATGTGTTTGGGGTTCCTTAGGTATCGCTGCACGCTGCGTCGGAGCTTGCTCGTCATCACTGTGGTCACACTTTAAAGCCGTCAGAGAGTAGGAGACCCTTGTGGTATCATCGCGTGCAGAATCATTGCTATCGAACGAAAAAGGCAGTGAAGCCACCTGAGACAGCGGTTCAACGCGATCGTCTACGCGTCCGACAAACGGAGCTACTCCATCCTTGATCACCTCCTCGAATTTCTCCAATGCTACCATCATCTCTCCAAAAACGTGAGTTCCATTTCTGCTCATGATATCGGCAATACTCATTCCGCGTTGGAGCGCATGCTTGTATTTTGTGGTTCCGTTCAGCACCTGATGATTCCTTGCTGCCATTGCAGAATCGCAGATTTGAAAAGCCTTGCACGCAAAGTTAGTGTCTGGGATATCTTCTTCAGCGGCTGGTTGATTTAGTTTGCACACCAACTGCCACCGAGACGCGATATTGCGAAAAGGAATAGCAGTCTTGTCGTTCATTAGACGCCAATACATGACGTGGCGGCATGGTAAAAGCATTGTTCGCATAAACACACACGAGCACTGATATCGCTAAAGGCACCTCAATAAACACATAAAATTAGATAGGGATTACAGATAAAGTTCCACTGGTTCACGTACCGAAGTATCCACGTGATATACACTTGTACGGTTGTCTCCAGTAAGAAGAAACAAATTTGGTTGCAGTTCCTTTATCTCGTAATGGGTCTTTCTATCCTTGGACATCCAGTACTGCTGCTCAATTAGCCGGTACGCATAGGGACTTACATCACGGGCAAGAATTTTCAATTCTTCATCTGCACCTTCGTAGCGCATCTGACCAACATCAGTTATCTTCTTGGCGTACTCCATCTCGGCAACGGCTTGTAAGAACATCAAGGTATCGACGCATTCATCCAACGCCATGTCTGCCCTTAAAATATCCTTGATATGACCCCACGATGATTCCAGTCTGTGGTAAAACGGCCCAAGTTCAGTACTAATTTAGAAGCAGCATTCCGAAAGCCATTGTACCTGTTGTTTGTGTGATTCCCCGGATGTGGTACATCAGAACGCGCATATAGCACCCATCGTTCCTTCATAGAGTCCCAATTTCGCATGAAATATTCCAAGAAAGGGTGCTTAGGCTCTGGAATAGTGTCGCTGTCTCGAAGCTGAACTCTATCGAGCAGGAAGTACATGTACTTCAGATATTTGATGTACTCCTCTGGAGAAGCAGCAAGTCTCATCATGTCGACAGCATCCTCCACTTGGTCTTTGTCAAAGCTCGAGGGTCCTCCATACTCACGCTTCACCATTTCAGCACGAATATACTTCTTCAGATGGAAATGGCAGAGAATAATTTTCACACCCGGAAATTCGTCCTCCAGCAATCCAAGCTCGCCCATATCCTTGTCGATGACTATTACCTTGACCTTCTCCCACGAAGAGTTGTGAAATTTAAAGGATCGAATTGCATCTGTCAGACATTCCGCGCTCTCATTCTCCATAAGACTGTGATGAACATACTGGCCCTAATAATGCAGAACGTTGAACAAATAAGTTAGTTACACATAAAGTAACTCCAGTACCTCAAAGAGTAACTCCAGTACTCAAGCAAGACACTTGTGTAACCGGAGGTACTTCGAAGCTGCATCGTGTACAAGAGTCACTGAGCGAGTAGCGAAAGGTACCTATACTCACATGGCCATATACATCGTTCACCATGAAAGAGAACAGCTTGTAGCGTGACTCATTCGTATTGTGCGTAGCATCGACTAGCATAACTTCAGGGAAAGCTTTAAACCAGCGCCGCATCTGCCTTGTTTGAAGTGTGATTGTCTGTGTGATCTTTGCATCGTCAATGAACACGGACGCACGATTTCCTCGACTCTCACACACACCTCGCAAAACGGTTTCCAACCGCTCCTCAACGGTAGCACCCCTCTTTCGCTTCTCTTTCATCTTCGCCACCATGTTGTGGACATCCCGTAGCATGACGTTTTTGCCTACATCGATCATCAGAGAAATATAAGAAAACATGTGAAAGCAGTAGCAGAGCTTGTCGGCGCACCTGTCTTCTCTCGAAGGTACTGCATGATCAACTTCGGTTTCGACCCGGCAGCCTGGAGTTCGTCGACGAAGGCAAGAAGAGCAGGGTTATCCACGCGTCGATTTGAGGCATGATTCTCGTAAATCGCCTTCGACACCTTGTGGTTATGCTCAACGCTACAGGCAGTGATCCGCACCATAATTTTTTGAACGTCTTCGGCCCCATTCCATGAAACGGTGGCTTTAATGTTTGCCTTGCATCCCGTACTCTTTTCGAAGTAACTCTTCCGGATTCCTTTCCCTCGACTCTTCCGGTTCCAGCCATGAGTGCACACTAACTTAATCCAGAAGTTGCCAAAATCCTCCGGAATTAAGCGTTCAGCTCCGTCGTCAACGTCACCATCGTCACCTCCTTGTTGCCCAAGTAGAACCTCACCAGCGCGACTCGCCGCTCGCTCCTTAATCTCGCGGTTACGCTTCGCTACCGACGTTGATGTGCGTTGGCGGAAGATCTGGTGTGTTTGTGCTTGATACTGCGCAATGTACGCATTGAAATCATCCCAATTGTCGTGCCATTCGACATCGACCGGGGGTGGCGTCCAAGTGGACGACGGAACATGCAACTCGGGTTCACTATCACTCATAACTGCATGGAGAACATAAACAAAAGAACAAGTTAGTCGGTAATCCATATACATGCCTTCTGGGCTGCACTGACCTTCGGGGTGCACTGACTTGCGCTGGAAGAGGGCGATTTTCGAATGATAGGCTGAGAAATGCCAGGATGGATGAAAGGGGAGAGAGGGGGTGTCATTTTTTATAAATATGGGATCCTAAAATTTGGAGTCAGCGGTATTTTACCTGGATAAATTACGTGCGCATACAGTTTGGTTTCGTTTAGATACGATTTTGCTCGGTACCTCTAACGAGTAGCTCCCCGGGTTGCAAGCGTAGTCCTTGATCTTGGCCTCGCACTCAGGCTCAGCGTTGTATTCGGACACCGGGCCACACGCCCGCAGCGGGTCGTAGTGGGTGGCAGTCGCCGCCTTCGCGCACTGCTTGAACGAGTCAGACGAGAGCGTCGAGTTCCACTTGGTGTGGATGTGCCACTTCCAGCCTGTCACGGCGTCCATAGTGCAGTTGTTGTCGAACGCCACAATATCGGACTGGTTGACACGGGAGAAGTCGAGAGCCGCCGTGATAGTGGCAGTGGATGCATTCTCGGCGGCGTA